ACATCCCCAGATTCTGCGCCAGAATCGGGGCCGCAAGGCCTGTGACCGGCCTGTGGCCAAGAAGAAGAAGAAGAAGAAGGCTGAAGGCACTGTGTTCACAGAGGAGGACTTCCAGAAGTTCCAGCAGGAATACTTCGGCAGCTAGGCTCCTGGAGGGCCCCGGGGGAGCGGCTGGGGCCCAGCGTCCTCCTCTGACCTCACAGCCACTGCTGGGCCTGGCCCCTGCCATGCACAGAGGCGGCCAGGCTGACCCAAGGAAGCTCCGGAGCTGAAGCTGGGGGCAGGCTGAGTGGAGCTGGTGAGCTGGACGCCTGCGGGAGCATTTAAACGCGGACGGAGGGGACCCGCAGGCTTGGGAAGAGCTGCCTCCCTGCCAAAAAGGAACATTTCTGTTGTTTGCTTTGGCCCAAGTAGGACCTCTTGACTGTTTGCCGTAGAGGCCAGTTACTGGCCCTCAGGGGCCACACCTCGAGGAGGGAGAGGAGGGCTGCTGGGTGTGCTTCCAGGTCCTAATAAATATGGGCTCCAGCTGGGGGTGTGCTGCTGGTCTGACTCAAGGTGTCTCATCTCCTGTGGCCCTGAAGAGCCTTCCCTCCCTCCCCCACCTCCCAGTGTGGTTCTTAGAGTTCCAGAGCAGAAGTCCTCCAGTCCAGCCCCAGTGCAGCCTGCCACTCAGTTCACCCAGCATCTGCTGGCATAGCCCAGAGGGGCCCTCCCCTGGGTGGCGCCCACAGCTGCCAGCTTTGATCCAGGGATGAGACTCCAGGGTCTGGGGAAAGGGAGTGCTGCCAGCCTGTCGCCCAAGTCCTGTGCTTGTGTGTCAAGTGTTGGGGGACTGGTGGGGTGATTCAGGAGGCGACTTCAAGCAACAGGGTTTCACACTCAGGTTTGTGCCTGAGCACAAAGGTAGGGGCTGGACCCCTTGCAGGCGGCAGTGTTGGGCACAGGATGTGCCGACCAGCATTGTCTTAAGTGTGGAGAGGACAAGTCCTGGAAGCAGGGGCCCCTTGGGGTTGGGGGCCTCTTGGAGAGGAGGGCCCTGGGCACCTTCAGGCAGCTCTCTTCCCCCTCCCCCAAAGGGCCTGAGAGGTCATGGCATTGTCTGAGGCTTCTGAAGGGGCCTGTGGCTGGAATGACAGTCAACCTCCCTGCATGGGTTCTAATGTACCAGGAGAGGGTTCCTCGCCCCTACCCACTACCTTGGAGCTGTTCCTGGTGGTTAACCAGCTTTCCACCCTGAGCGTGGGCCACAGAACGGCCGGCGTGGAGCTGGACCCGGTCGTGTCTGCAGATGCCTCTCCTGAGCGGTAGGAAGCAGGTCACCCAGGTCACGGCTGCAGGAGGGTGCGGACTCCAAACAGGAAGTGGCCCACCTTCCTCAGAGCAGCTGCTATCCTGCCTCATGCTCCACCCGCTCCCTCCAGCGGAGTCTTAATGACCCTGGTGGGGGGAGAGCTACACACCGGATATCCGTAGATTCATCTTTTAAGCTTAGGCTAGCTGCAGTCCTTAGTCCTTTTGAATGTGGGTGTGAATCCTCAACAGCAAGAACTCCTTTAGCCCAGATTAAATATCCTCTATCTCCCCATGCTTGCAGTGGCCACAGTTCTGGCCAATGACCTTTTCCCAGGTGACTAAGTGCCTTCCTTATGTCCCCCCAACTTTACTGGGCATGGATCTGTTCCCCCCACCCCACCCCCAGTGACCTAGAGAATAGACCATATACCTATGGTTTCCTGGGGGGGGAGGGGGGAGTGTCAAGTTGTAGCTTCCTGGTGAAGCTGCCCAAATGACAGGCGTAGGTCCTTCCCTTTGCTTTCCTATTAATAGTTTATTACAAGGGCATCAGAACCAGAGTTTAGAAGTAGAAACTTCATCAGCACACCCAGCTCAAGGACGGACTGTGGAACCTTATCTGGCTGCTGAATGACAGATGTTGGCAAAAGGCCCAACTGGGAGAACAGGTGGAACCTGGGCTGTTCCTGCTACCAGTTCCCTCCAGTTACAACTCCCTAGAGCCTTGCCCCTAACCAAGGGATAGCCCACCAAGGGATCCCCAGCTCTGGGAAAACCACCTGCTGTTGGGGCTCTGGCCCGGAGTCCGATGGAGTCACCAGTGATCCTGACGATAGCACCTCTCACTCTGGGCTCAACCTTAAAATATGTTGAAACCTCCTTCTCGTTAAGAATCTAGTCCTAGGACAGTTGGCTGGGTTATTTGAGGCAAGAAAACATACAGCAGTCTGCACAGTACTTTCACTACAAAATAATTTATTATGATACACATCTCCAGCACAAGCCTCCTATGTACAAGCACACCGACTACCCTAACTAGGAGGCCCTTTTCTTTCCCCTGGCCTTGCGGACCTCCTCTATCAGATCTTTCAGGTACTGGATCTCCTTGGCCAAGGAATCGGCCTTCTCTTTCAGAGCCTCGTTTTTCTTTTCTAGCTCTTTACACTCACCGGTGAGGGCCTCCTGCTCTGCTCTCTTCTTCTGGCGGTACCTAGTAGCTGCTGTCTTGTTCTGCTCCATTTTCTTCAGCCTTTTATCTAGTTTCTCACCCTTTACTTTTGCAGCTACCACCTTCTCTCCAGGAGGGTCATAGGGTTTGGGGCCAGCAGACCCACAGGGGGGAGCTGAGGACAGCAGATTCCTGTTTGGGGAGGCCCTGGAGGTGGAGGGACTGCTCTGGGGAGAGCCCAGATAGGACTCCGGGCTCATACAGATGCCACTATCATTGTCTGAGGCGGCATCCTCCTCCTTTATGCATTGAGGGATTATGGAACCATAAGTAGTGGAGTCTGCTTTTCTCTCTCCTTCAGAGATGTCAACTTCACTTCCCAGCTCTAAACTAAAGGAATGATCCGCAGTGCAGGACAGGGCCTCCGGGGAAAGGGGGAGAGGTTGCAGGAAGGTGAAGGGGGCTACCTGGTCAGTTTTTAGTAGACTTTCTGGAAGATGGCCAATTGGGTTCACGGTATGGAGGGGCTCCTTATTAATCTCCTGGTCTAGGGGGTCAAAGAGGTCACAGGGGTCATCCAACGTGGCCAAAAGCTCATCAGGCATGGTGTCCAGGTCACCTAAACTTAACAGGGCATCAAAGTCAAACTCCTTGAGATCCATTTTCTCCACCATCCAATCTGTCCCCGAGAAGGCATCCTCTGCAAAAGATTTTAAAAGAAATCAATTCAGCCAGATGCACAAAGCAACCAACTACGACCAGAACTCAGTGGCAAATCAACGATGGGCACTCACCCTTGCCGTTGTCTGAGGCACTGACCAACCCATCCACAGCCAGCCATTCGGAGGAGCCCGCCTTAGCCTTGTCGCTGGAGAACCCATGGGGTTTCAAGTTCTTGGCCACCTCCAGGTAGTCGTCTAGGAGATCTAAGCTTTCTTCAGCCCCCAAACCCGACTGGCTGAAGGGGGACATCAAGCCCCCCACCAACACCTCGCTGCTCAAGAAGCTCATCTCGGTCATGTTGTGGGGCTTTGCAGGAATCGAGGAATGTGTTTAATTCGAATGTGTCTTCGTCGGTTACAGCAATGCTGCTGCTGAATGCCGTGAAAAGCCTGCATAGGAACGAGAAACAAAGCCCGATTAGCCATCGGCGGGCCGGAGAAGCTCGTCTTTTCACCCCGAGGCAGGAAGGCCAACCCCGACTTGGCCGTAGGGAAGTGGAAACACGTGGCGCCAGAGCCATTGTGCGTCTCTCCCTGCTCCGCCCGGTCAGGCGGCCCCGTGGACGCCCTTGGCGCTGGGCCGCTCCCCCAGCGGCCGCAGGAGGTAGGCGCTGCTTCCTCCCGTCCAAACGCGGCCGCGCCGCCGCCTCCCCCGCCCCCGTGACTCACGCCGCCGGCCGCCGCCCAGCCGCCGCCATCTTGCTGCTGCCACGTTTCGCCCGGCGCCAGGCGGGCCCCGGCGGGCTGGGGTGGGGGAGGCGAGGCGCCGGGGGCTATTCCTCCCACCGGGGGCTTTTCCCCCGGGCCCAGGGCCGGGCCGCGCTCTCCCAGCTCGGCGCCGGCGTCTCGGGGCAGGCACACTGGGGCCACGCGTCCCCAGCGCTCGTAAAACCGCTTCCCCCTCCGCGACGCCGCCGGCCCGCGGCCGCACCCAGGCACACAGATCGCAGGTCCTCGGCGGCCCGGGGGCGCCCGGACCCAGCAGCCCGTCCCCCTACTCACGCCATGGCTTAAGCCGCTGGGAGGTGCCGCTGCAGAGCCTGGTGCTGCTGCTGCCGCTGCAAAGGCCAATGCTGCCGCTGGCACTGCTGCCTCTAGTGCGCCATGTCGGCCGGGAGCTGTGGGAGCGGAGGAGGAAGGGACACGCTCGAAGGTCTACATCTGCAGGCGGGAGAGGAAATGGCCGCAACAGCCGGCCCGCGGGTCTTTTATAACTTTTTCCTTTATGAGCCGCATCACAAAGAAAAATCCTTCCGCTGTCACGTGACCTTCGCCTCCCGCCCACTTATTTTCATCTGTTGACGCCCTACCTCTTCCAACCAACGACTTTTTTTGGTCAGGGCGTAAGTCTAAAGAGAAAATATGTTATTTTAAAGGCCTCGCGAAACAAAAGACTCACTGCTTTACAAGGCTCCTAAGATCAAAGAGTCACTGCGAGCGCGGAGGGACCCACCAGACACGCCCGCTTCCGGTGTTAGCTGAAGGCCGGGGAGAAGGCATTTCCAAGAAAGGTTTTTATTGTGAAGGCCGAAGCCCTCTCATCGCGCGAGATGCCGGCGGAGAGCGCGCATCGACTGATTGGCCAGCCGTGGTGAGTCATCTATAACTCGAGTTTTTATTGGCTCAGGGTCCAAGATGGGTGGGTTGTGCAGTGAGGTGGCCTCTGGTGCGCGAGGGAAGGGCGGGGGCCGGGGGTTTCCCGCTTGGGGGTCTGGGGTCTGTCGTCCGCCCGCCCTCGGTGGTGCCCCGACTTCCCAGCGGCTCCCTCCGCCAGGCCTGTAGCCGGCCGCCACCCTCCCACCCACCCAGCCCCAAATAGTGAGGGCAGCCCCAGCCCCTGCGATCGCCAAGCTGCCAGCTCTCAGTGCAGCTCTAACTAGGGGCCAGGCTGCGGCTGGAAGATGAAACTGGGCAAAAGGAAATGTCATTTCGGGGCGATTTCACCACACGGGAGCCCTTCAGTATTGGGAAGGGGAGCTGAGGACCGCAGGCGGAAGATCGCCTGACCCCTGCCCACCTACCCCAAAGGCCAGCTCTGCGCTGGAAGATGCAGAATCCTATGGCCCAACCAGTTCTGTTTTTATATATCCATTCTGCCAAAATATGTCTGCTTGTCCATTAAACACGCAGGCCATCACCGCAGAACTTGTTTGGTTGAGCACGCTGTTTCTCTAAACGAGGAGGGAATTGACTCACCTACCTCCCAGGCGTCCGCTTCCGAGCAAGTCCCAGTGGGCTGTGCGGAGGGGAACCCATGCCCTCGGCGGGGCCATCCTCTCCCTCGCAGTCAGGCCCTGGAGGGTCGGAAACCGGGGGTTTGTGCACAAACCTGGGGTTTGTGCCTCCATGCATTTCAGCGGGCCTTACAAATAGTCCCGAGGGCTCTGCTGTGAAAACTTCGGGAACCGCTGTCCTCAGCCACAGCCATTAAGTGACTTCATCTAGCTCAGTGGCCTGACCATGGTAAACAGGACTAATGGGGGCGGTGTTCTGCCCGGTCACATGCTCCCAGCGAGGGCCTTATGGCGTAGGAGTTAGAAGACAGGTCTCAGGGGCAAACCCAAAAGAATCCTGGCTCTTTCATGTTCAGCCAGGATGTTTTGGTTAAGTGACTTGTTCTTGCTGGGGCTCAGTTTCCTCATCTGTAAAATGGGCTAATGATGAGTAGTATCATTATCCTTAGAGTGAAGTGAAATCGTGTGGAAAGCACGGAGCAAAGTGCCTGGTACCTGGTAGGTGCCCAATTGATTATCAGAACTGAGGTCTTCTGACCCAGACCTCCCGATAGGCACCTCGCCATCCCCATTACATCATCCAGCTTTCTCAGAGGCCGCCTGTCATTTACTGAGAGGAAACCAACAACTATAAACAACTGGTATATGCAAAGCACACTGGGTCCTGGTGTGTGGTTTTCCTTTCCCCTTGGGGAGGCCCAAGAATTGCAATACACAGAAGTCGTCCAGCCGTTCAGTGCAAAGGCAGTAAGAGTCCCTGAGCCACTACACGTCTTCCACAGGCACAACTGAGGACCCACAGCACCTGTCCTCCTCTTGTTGTATCAGGAGACTTGTCAGTGCTCCTGAGGGCTGACCACGCAGATGGCTGAAAATTAAAGCAAGTAACACTGCCCCAGCTTTGACGCTGCAGAGGTCACGGAAGAAAGACTTCAGTGGCAGCTCGCCCCACCCGTTCTATTGTGGGGACCCAGGTCAAGCACGCCGAGGCTGGAGCCGATAGGAAGAGCAGCGCTCCTGTGGGAGAACGGTTCATGCCACGCACAAGTCAAAGCTGCCGGAAAGGAGACGTCTCGTTTCTTCCTCCCGTGCTGTGAAGGGCACCATGTTTCCAGCTTTACTCCTCCCTCAAGGAGGAAAAGGACAGCACTTCTCTGGGTCTCAAGGCCAGGCTGCTTCCCTCTGTAGCTACCCAAGACGGGGCGAAAGACTGGTGACTGACTCCAGATCGCAGCCAAACATACCAACTGCTGTTGAAGGGCAGGCAAGTGAGCGAAGGCCAACTGTAGACTTGGCATTGGACCGAGAATTTAAAGACTACAAGGTGATCAAAATGAAAAGGTGAGCAACACAGTGTATACCATTAACCGCAGAGCCCACCTCTCTGGTACTTTGGCCACTTAGAATCAGTAGTGTCCGAAAAGGCTACAGCCTCCCTACGCTAGTCCTAGGTGTCTGTGGCCTTGAGCTTCAGCAGCAAGGGCAGAGTTCTGACAGATCCCAGGTCATGGTCTCAAGAGAGATGTACCACAGCAGACAACCCTGAACACACGCGGGGACCCCTACCTACAGAAATCCCTGCGTACAGACACTCCTGGGCCTTAGGATCCTGAGGCTGATTCCTCATCAAAACCATTTGTGTTCTCAACTTTAGCGGAGTACGAGGGAGCAAACTCAGCTGATCTGGAGCGTCAACCCGTGGACCATCAGGGGCTGAGACCCAGGAAGAAAGACTGTAGGCCTCAACACAGCTTTTCCAAATGAGCGTTGATTATTTATTTGAAAAAAAGTCACAAGTAAGTGTATAAAAAATACTATTGTCCTGAACTCATTTTTAAAAAGGGGCAACAGGGAAAACCAAAATACACTTTGGGACTGATTACAATTTCAAGACCATGAGTGTATTTTGTAAACACTAGCTGTGTGGTTTGCTTATCCTAGATGGTGTAAAAGAATCTCCAAATGGAGACATAGGACCAGGTGCTATTGCTTCAGGAAAGGGGAGTTATGAGTAGAAAGGCAGAATGGTGGGAAAGGCACCACATCTTTCCCCAAAAATTAAAGGGGAAGCAAAATGTTGCCCTCTTCTACCCGAGAATCTCAAAGTACTTGTCTGTCTTCCATGTTTTATGACGAGGTTTGCCCAGTTGGTCAGCAAAACCGCCAGGACCAGGACAGGGAATTCCCACAGCTTCTAGTTCTGAGAACGTCTAAGAGGTTCTCGCTTATGAAATGGCAAAGTTACGGTGTTTGGGTTTTGTGAAACAGTTGAGAGAGATGCTCTTTAAGAGAGGAGATAAACTCAAATCACAGTTACACGCGGCTTTAACAATTTGAGACTTGATCTTTAAAATGTTTTCTTTTTTTAGCTCTCCTTTCGATGTTTTATATGGAATTTGGTTGGAGACACCACCTTGGGAAAATTGTAGGGGATTTTTTTTTTGTCTAGTCTTTCCATGCAAAGGCAGTAAGAATCCCTGCCTTTATATTTGTTTGTTTTTAAATATATTTTTTATTGATTTGAGAGGAAGAGAGACAAAAACATCAATGATGAGAATCACTGATCGGCTGCCTCCTGCATGCCCCAAACGAGATTGAGCCCACAATCCAGGCATATGCCCTGACCGGGAACTGAACTGTGACCTCCTGGTTCATGGATCAACGCTCAACCACTGAGCCACACCAACCAGGCAAATTGTAGGTTTTATAATACAATGGGAAAACCAAATCCTTATCTCAGTGAGTAATAACCCATGTTTTGGCAACACTTTCTCAGCCCACCCCTCTCCTAGATGCCATGCCAGGCTCCACCCATTACCTCTGCACAGCTCACCAGGGAGCACTCAGGCACAGAGATTTTTAAAACTCCATTTTGATTCTGAACAGCCCAGGCTGGGGAATCCCTCTCAGGGTTCTGAGCGTTATGTGCTTCCTTCTCCCCCAATACCTTCATACAAATGACACAACTGGACCACTTAAAGGAACCCTTGCACACATATAGAAGGCAGGAAGTTCTCCAAGGTTAACCCTCGTTCTCAACCCCTCGTCCATGACAAAAAGGGAACAGGAATCTCGCCCTAAATCCAGAGGACAGCTGAGGTTTCATGGCTATTTATAGAGCCATTTCATGTCACTGTCACTGGGAAGGAATGAGATAGCTGCAGTGCTTCACCAGACTCTCACGGCTGGAGAGGTAGTATGCACAGAGAGAACAGCAACACTTGATGGGAGAACAAATACTGGACAGGTGACCAGAAACAGAATTATCAGGCTTTTGCCACAAACAGGAAAAAAATACACAAAACAAGAAGATGCACTGGCATTGTGTATTAAACACTCCTCCCCACCCTCAGGGTACTTTTTACATTGCAATAAATAGTGCAATTGTAGCAGCGGGAAACAAGGAGCGTAGGAAGTCCCCACCTCCTTCATGTGTTTTATCCGTGTGCACTCTTCCTAGGTAGCACCAATCTCCCCAGGTGCTGGGTGAGAGAGAGACAGAACTGGGATGGGGTGGGGGATAGGGGAGAGGTCTGAGCATGTTTGGGTGCCCTTTGGCCTCTGGAGGTGCCTGGAGAGTTCCACAAACAGCCTCTCACATTACTATGGCGGACTGTTAGGACTGTTCTTGCTCTAAGACAACATCCTAGAAAGGCAGGCCTGATGGGGGAGAAACACGGTCACTGAGCCACAACTGAGGACTGGGTCTTCCAGCGGACAGCCTGCTGCCTGTCCACCTCCCTTCAGCCTCTAGCGCTAAGGCTGTTCCTGAAGGCCTCACCCTAAAGGACAGGGAGGCAAGGAAGGGGTGAGCGAACGCGCTCATGCAGAGGGGCTGCCTTTGCAGCCCCTCCCTCCTCGTCTTCCTGACTCCTGCACACGGGTGCTGTGGTCTGGACCAGCCACGTGAGCTGGAGACGCCAAGTCCACAGATCCCCTCCCAGGCCGCCTCCGGTTCCCCCATTCTGCACGCTCACTGGTGGCCACTGAAAAACACTCTCCAAATAACATTGCATCGGTTTATCTTGAGCCCCCCCTCTGTGAGGGTCAGTGACCGTGTTCCCATGAGAGACCTCTCAGCCCTACGGCTAGGAGTTGGCCAGGAGGTTGGGGGAATGGGCTGCTTTTCCAGGAACCTGAATCGAAGGTCACTGTACCCCCAGAAACCCTAAATACTGTCTGAGCGCTCCGCAGAGGTCAGCTTGGGAACATGCAGTAAGGTCAGTGATATTCAACTAGAGGCAACGTCTTGATTAGGCAGGTGTGCCCCAGGGAAAGGAACAAACAAGGCATGAACAGGAGGAAAAGGTAGAGAAGACACGGGAGAGAAGCAGGCCAAAGGGCAAGGCGGGACAGACGGGAGCAGAAAACCTGGGCCCCATGCAAAACACCAAGTGGTTTCAACAGCTCAGGCCGGTGCTCCACCTGGTCAGTTCATTCCAGCAAAATTAGCCTGGAGCGAGGGGTAGAGGAGGAGGAGGGAGCACAGTGTTTGGTAACAAAAATAGAAAGGGTTGGGTTTGAGAAAATAGGAGATTTAAGAGATGTCATTCTAATCAGCATGAAGTGACCAGGGCGATGGACAGCAGGACGGGAGGCACCTAGGGACCCTGTGAGGCGCCATCTCTAGAGCCGTGTTTCTAACAGAGAATCCAGGGCCTGACTGCCCAGCACCCCTTTGGCCCTCACCTGCCCTACGTCTGCAGCAGCACCTCTGGCTCAGACAATGAGCAATAGAGAGTGTATCCCAATTCGTCTATTTCTTCAGGGGTGAGCTCAGCAAATAAGTTCACCTTGGGGTTCAGGGCGCTGGGCAGGACTCCGGCCTCTAGGTACCTGATGAGTCCCCTCAAAGCCTGCAGGAACCGATCGGCCAGCATATCTGGAGACCAGTCAGCCTCCTCCTGGGCCAAGTGGAGGATGACATTCGTGAGCTGGCTGGCAGTGAGGTGGCCCAGAGCTGGAGTGGACTTGCATATGGCCTTGAGGATCTTGAGGCACAGAGATCGGCAGCCCGAGTCGGCCTGGTCCAAAGCCCACAGGCGCGCCGTCTCAGCAGGACGCAGGCTCAGCCGCCACAGGTTGTCATACTGGGCTAGCCGGTGTGGTCTGGCCACCAGGACAGTGTCACCGAGAGTCACCGATGGCAAGAAGTCAATGACAAGATGTTTGTCGCGCTCATACTGCACTTCCAGAGTCAAGGCCTCTGGCGGCGGTGCCGGGCGGATCACATAGTCCAGGAGAGACCCTATGGCCGGCCAATTGATGGAGCCAGCCACTACCTTCTCAAACGTGTCTGCCACCGCCTTTGGGGAGAGGTAGCCGCCCACGACACAGCGGTCCCAGTAACTGCTCCCACGAGGAAAGTACTCTGGGTTCTCGCGGCGAACCAGGAAGAAGCCGGGGACGTTCATGATGGTGTCCTCGCCGGGAATACACGACCACAGGTTCTGCTCCAGAACAAGGGGCACGATGAGTTGGATGTGGTCGGCTGTCACCACCTGGTGAGAAGAATTAAAAAGGTTTTGAGGGATGTAATCTGTTCAAGAAGCCAGCTTCCTCAAACACAGGTCCCTCTATCTTGTATTCCCCCAACAGTAAAGGAAACTAAGAATTCCTTCCTGTCGACCTTTCAGTTCAGATACAGCCATAATGAGGATTTAAGCCCCGGTCTGCAGACACGAGCTCGTGCTCACGTGAGCCACGTGCCACGTGGTCCTGGGGCATGAAAGTCTGCGGGACATCCCCCACGCCTAAAGACCCAGAAAGAGAACTAGAAAGAGAGGCAGGGACAGGAGGGAGGAAGGGGGAGGCCTCTACGGTGTCCTAGAAGTTGTGTGACTGGAAAACAAGAAAGGGTTTTTAAAGACCAAGATAAATTTTAAAAAAATAAATGAGATCTATATCTCAAAATAAAAAAAAACAAGACCCAAGATAATGCTCCCCAAATGCTCCGTGTGTGCAGAATTCAGAAGCAGCCAGACTGCAGTCTTCCTGGCAAGCCTGGGTCACTCATCTTTTGTACCAACAGCACGACTGAGCAGCATGTGGGTCAGTCCCCAGCCCGACCCTGTGTGAGCACCGCCTCGTTACCTGCAGGTCGTCATAGAGGCTGCCACTCAGGTACATGTCCCGAAGTGGCATGTCAGGCAGCTTGGCCCGCAGGAAGCCCCGGAGCTCAGCACATATGTCCACGGCAGCTTGCTTGGCCCGAGCCTGCTCACCGGCAGGGATGGCAGCCCGGTTCCGGTAGTAAGAAAGGAGTTTCTCCTGCAGGGACATGCGGAGCCGTGACTTCTTCAAGTCTACCTGGCCCTTCCTGGCCAGTGGCTTGGGCTGGGGTGGGCAGAATGTATCTGCCAAGGCAAGAGAGAGAAGCATGTCAGCTCTTCCCAGGCTGCCTCGATCCCAGAAAGAAGGGCTTGGCACAACAGGCAAGTGCTAGCACAGTGCCTGGCACCTATGTGCTCAAGGAATGTTTGCTACATGCAGGAGTAGCACTGAGGGCCCACAGGTAAGTCCCAGAAGGGGCAGAGGCTTTCTCACCTGCGTCAAAGGCCGAGGAGTCTGTGGGAAGGGTCTGCAGGGACCGGCTCAGGCCTGTCTTCATGTCCCTGTTCAGCAGTCGCGGGGAGCCCATCCAGTTTGGCTCTTCCCAGCTCCTTTTCCCCGAGTGGCCCAGGCGGGTGGGGCTGGTCGGGGCACTGATCGCCCTGTCGTACATCTGGAACAGCAAGAGGACCCGTCCACACATGTTCCTTCCTTCCTGCTGCCCTCCTTCCCAGCAGCTTCAGTGAGCTCTAGACTAATTTTCAATACCTTCGTGTTATTCTGGATTATACTTTCTCCATGTAGAAAATAGAAAAGTTCAGGAAACATGAAATGATATAAATAAGAAACAGATTTATCCATAATGTCACAACCCAGAGATAAATGTTAATAATTTAGTATATTTCTATTTCTTTCTGGAAAAATAGATTTAGGTAATTAGGATCCTGCTCTATATATACTTTTGAAAACTGATTTTTTTCACTTACGATTTTTATCATTTACCCATGCCAGTAAAAATGAACCGGTGTTCAACATTATGGTACATTTTCTAACTATACCACACTGTACCTTATGAATGTAATGGTGAACACTGATTAATTCATTTAACAAATACTCATTGAGTGTCTATGACGTGCTGTTCTGGGTACAAAACTAGAGCACTAACCAAAGAGACCCAGTCCAGTAGAGGGACACAGGCAAAACATAAGTTAAATACAAAGTATGCAGAAAGATTAACGTTAAAATAAGGTAGAAAAGGGAAACAGGAAGTGTATGCGTGGTGGGGGTTGCTATTTTAAATAAGGTAGTCAAGGAAGACTATTTGGGGTATTTATAACTTTTTACCCGCTGGGATAAACGTCTTTATTTGTCTCTCCAACGACTTCTTTGGGGTAGAGACCGAGCAGCAGCCTTAACTGAACTCTCCTAAGGTCTCATCTAATCACCAATGACCCAGGTCGACTCGATGAGCAGCGTCCAGGCCGTTCCAGACCAGCTCTGCGCTGTGGAGGCAGGTCCCCCTCTCCCAGCCCCGGCTCGGGCTGCAGGCACTTACCCGCTTAACCGCCAGCGTAGCGATGCCCAGCATGGCCGCTCCGCCCACCCCCAGCACCAGCCGGGCATTGGAGAGCACAAAATCAATGGCTGTGCCGATGCCATTGTCATCCTTCTTGCCTTTGCGCTCACCAGCGCCTGCCATTGCTCACCTGAGGATGAAGGCAGAACAGAGCCATCACCACCTGGGGCCGCAAACACCGTTAACTAACAGTCACTGTCAAGTCCAAAGATATTTCCCCCTAATAGTTCACAACCTTGGTGGCCCTTTTCTCCACCTTTCACAGTCAACTAAGCTTCACTTAGGGACAAATGAGACCACTTGGCCAAATGAAATAGATTCCCACTTAAACGCACAAAGCAAGCAAGGCCAAGGAGAGAGTTGCCTTTGTATTTACAGGTGGAGGCAGGCGAGAATCCAAGCATCCTCTCTCCAGGGACCATTGAGACAGAGATGGGACGAATCACTCAGTTGAGGCAGCGGAATCCAATCAGGACCACACAGACATTGCACGGCTCCCACACATAACCACCATTTTTTTGTTGTTGTTTTAAACAAGAGAACCTTTGCTAATATATTTGTAGTAGGGAGAACCACTGGATGTAGGCACTCTAAGTCAAGGGTGGGGAACGTCTGGCCCGTGGGCCATGTTGGCCCTGACAAGGCGTTAGGAGTGAGTTAATTAAATGTCTGGCGCAAGCTAATTTTTAGGTTGATAATGTTGTATGGCCCACGAAGGGTGTTATAAATATCCAAATGGCCCTTGGCAGAGAAAAGGCTCCCACCCTGCCCTAAGTGATCCCTGGATCAGATGCAGCAGACCAGAAGGGCATGTCCCGCCCCGAGCAGAAGCCAGAAGGAACCCCCTCCCCACCATGCCATTTAGTCCTTGGCCAGCTGATGTGATGACTGGTGAGAGCAGGCGGGGATGTGGCAGAATAGAAAAAAGCTTGGGTTTTTGAGTCAGAAATCCTGAGATGGAGTCCTTGCCTTTGAACCCTGAATTATTTAACCCCTCAGCTATGAAAAGGGGAGAATGATGCCTGCAGGGCCTAAATCATAGGACTATAGTGAGGAAAAAATCTACTGAAACACTGTATGTAAACGCTCTATAAACTGTAAAGTACTCCAAAAATTTGGGTTTATCATTAAGTCTTTTAAGATTTGGACCCACAGGACAAGGGGTCAACTTCCAGAAGGCACTCAGCCTGCTCCCTGAGCTACATCTGACTTCCGAGACAGACTCATGCTGTCCTGGGCTTGAGATTAAAACTGTTAAGTTGAGGAGGCCGTTCCTACTCTAGTGCCATATGCTCCCCACCCAAGGGCCTGGTGACCTGGAAGAGGGGAGAGCGTCCATGGACTCCAACAGGCAGATATGGGTCTTATTTTAAGTTAACTTGTTCCAGCTGCAAGTGCTTATCCGCTCGTCCTCCACTCAGGTTCCTGCTCTAGTGGGAGCCTCCTAGGAACGGGACTCACAGGCAAGGAGCGGGGCTGGCTCCTCGGTGCTACCGGAGAGGAGCACTGGTGCTTTAATGGGCAGAGTCTCCGTTTTGCAAGATAAAGACGTTCTGGAGATGTTACACCACAAGGTGAATATTCTTTTTTTCTTTTTTGCCATTTTTAAAATATAACATTGCTTAGATGGTTTGATACAGAATAGCTTTTCTTCTCGTTTTGAACCGGAAGTACTACACAACTGAATACAAAGAGGAACAAAAAGTACCAAAGCCAAATTTGTGATTTTGTTCATGTGGCATAAACATTGTGAATGTTCTTAACGCTACTGAACTGTACACTGAAAAATGGTTGTGACCTGGTGGGCAGGGCAGGGGGTGGAGAATCTGGGCACGGCCACCATTTCAGGGAAGAGAAATACTCCTCACCCCAGCAATCCCGTGAGGCTAGTCTTACTATTATTTCCAATTTTCAGATGAAGAAACTGAGACAAAGGTGAAGGAACCGCCAGGGTCACCGTGTCAGTAAGATGTGCGGAGATTTGACTAGACGCGCTGCTGGGGAGTGGTTTACGGGGTCTCGGGCAGCTTGCTCACATCTCCTCTGTTAACCACCAGACCACAAGCTTCTGGGGATTTGGCTCATTCACTGCTGCTGCCCAGCGCCAGTGTTTGACACACAGTATCTGCTGCACAAATGAGCTATGAACTCTGTGGCTTTTTTTTTCCAAGGAGGGGGTGGTGGCGACCTGTAACCCAACTCAGTCAAAACAGATTAGCGCCCAAAGACTAGTCGCTCACTGTGGTTCCGGACCTGCCGCCCTTCCTGTGCAGCAGGCCCCTGTGGGCCCTACGCTGCCAAAGGCCGGCCTGCCAATCAACCCAGTGGCCGAGGAGAACCAAGAGCCACGACATAAGGCTCCTCCCCGCTTTTCCTGTCGAAGCTGAACACAGTACCTCCCACCCAGCTGGCAAGCCTTTCACCCCAGTTACCCTTCATTCTTCGTTCTCCTCCTGCTTCCGCCAGCCGGTCACCAAGCCCCACTGCTGTACAAGTCGTATGTATGTGCGGCCAGCCCACCTCCTCGGTCCCTCAATCTCAGCTGGCCATATTCGCTGCCGTTAGTATCTCCACCAGCCTATTCTCCGGCCGCCACTGCCACGCTCCCTCTCCCATGACATTCGCTGCTTTCAAAGCTGTGATGGTCCCCCTACGATCAGATGTCCCAATCTCCTCAACGGGATTCAGTGTCCTTCCGGACCTGGCCCAGCCTCCACTCCAGCCACTTGCCTTACAGGTGCACCATTCTAGCCATGCCAGACTCAAGTTTCCAGTACAAAGTGCAGCTGCACCTCCACATTTGCTTCTTGCCCATCTACTCAGCAACCTAGCTCTCATTTGAAGCAGACCTCAAATGTCCTCTTTCCTACAGCTCCCTGCGACTCCCCTACTACCCCGACCCCGACCCAAGGCAGCTATGTGCTGATCCTTGTCTCTGAGCTCTGTGCCCAACCCTCTACTCCAGAGCTGCTCATGCCGAATGACTTCCTGCTGATCTCGGTAGCCCAAGCCCCTTGGTGGACAGGATCATTCATTTCTATCCCAGCGCCTACTGAAAAGCCAGCACCGTAGAAGGCCCTCGGAAGCTGCTGAATTAACTATGATCATTAGGTTATATTTAGTGGGACTTCTCAGTAACAGTGGAATCAGGAGCAAACAGCACTAATACCACTTGCCAAGTAACCCTAAGTGCTGGGGATGCACGCCCTCATTTAATTCTCATAACTATTATGTCCACTTTACAAATGAGGAAATGGAGGCCTCGAACAGCTTAGTGGTTTGCCCTAAATCCTTCAACTATTAGCAGCAGTGCCGGGCTGTGAGCCCGGACACCGTCCCCCGATATCTGCACACACTGCTTGCTTTGCTTTACAGGCGCTGTCACAGGACACAGTTACATTTTGGGGGATGTGATCAGACCTGCAAGATAACTGAATGTACTGAAGAATGAGCCAGCCTGAATTAAACTCTAATAGCTTTTACCAATGTCTTTCATTGGTAAAACATTTTCATAGGTAAACTGTTCTACTTGAACTAAAATGTGATAACAATCCTATTCTGAGAGGACTTGAAACTCAGGGCCTATTTTTTCTCAGTGAGGGAACATACCTGTTAATATGTCTGTAGTTTCTCCATGGATTTCTAATGATTAAAGGACTTTGGTCCCTGAAAGAAAAGGGCCTCCCTCTCCTGGTCCCCTGCATCAGAAAAAAAACAAAACCTGCAGAAACAAGGGTCTACCTACCTGCAGCTGCTACTGCATCTGTGAGGTGGGGGTGGGGTGGGAGAGCAGGAGGGTCTACAGAAGGCACCTTTGCCCTCCTTCCCTTGAATTAGGATGGCAGAGGAAAGGAGAGGATCCTAAATAATGCCCCCCAGTCTGCGCTGCAGGAAGACCAGGCCCTTCTCCAGCTGCCTCTCCCGGGCCTCAGGATCCTCTAGCTTCTGATTTTTCCGGAACTCACGGCGGATGGAGGCGAGATAGAAGTCCCGGTCCGTGTAGCGAAGCTCTCGGCCCTGGCGCAGCAGAGCCCGGTAGAGACTCAACACCGCCTCTCGGCTCCACGGGGCCATGGGGGACTGGCAGGTGCTGGGCGTCAAGCTACAAGCAGGAGGGAAAAACAGAAGCGTAGAATCAGAATGAATAACAGAAGGGCCTATAGAGATGACCTGAAAGTCAAAGAGTTCTTAATGTAGGTCTCAGACACCCCCAAGGCCACACTACAATTTAGGGACCGGGTTAGGCCTGGACCCCAGCCTCTCACCCGCCGTCTGGGAAAGTCCAGTTGATGCTGCAGGGCCAGAGCTTGGAAGCTGAGCTGCCTGGGCTTGAATCCTCGCTCCCCCACTTACCCCATGGCTTTGGGCAGCACTTTACCCCTCCAAGCATCAGCTTCTCACTTGTAAAGTGGAAATGCTAGTATGTTAACAGCAGCTGCTACATAGCTGAGAACTGTGTGAGATAAAACATGTAAAGCCCCTGTAATAGAAGGTCACCATAGGGCTGGTCTAGTCTGCCGGAAGGACTCAGACGCAGGAATCCTGGCATCACCACTAGTGAGCTCATCACCTCGGGCAAGTTCCTTAACCCGCTGCCTTACCCCAGTTTCCCGCCCGTCAAATGAGGATTAAAACGGTATTCTGCCCATACGGCCGGTAGGAGGATGAGTGAGTGAATGTATGGAAACATGTCTGGAACAGCACTGGGCACGTACCAAGGCTCCATCTACACCGGATCGCGGTGACTGGTGCCCCCGAGCCTGGCGTGTAAGTGCTCAGGGAGCGGATCTAGTTCCACACAAGCTGCCCCCGTCCTCTTTCGGGAACAGTGTTCGCCTCTGTAAAGTGCTTTGTCATCCATGATCCCATTTAAGCTGAGGAACCTATGGGGTGGTCGGGGATCGCTCGCTGTTCACTACGGACCACACGTGCTCTAAGCATGTCCCACATCTCACTCTGTCACAGGCCCAGGCCATCGTTCTCCCCACGTGAAGGCGGGGAGCCTGCACCCTGACCCCGATTCTGGCCCCGGAGGGCAGCTCCCTCTGGCCGGGGCCCCACCGTGGGTGCGGCACCTCGGGGCGCTCAAACTTCCCCGGCTCAGCGCCTGCCACACACCAGGAGCCCAACACCAAGCGGATGAGAAGGGGACCCTCACAGCGCCCCTACGCGCAAGGAATGATCACCCCGTTTCACAGATAAAGTCATGAGACTGAGTGGGGGAGACATTTGGTAAAAAGATCTGAACTTGGGGCCCCAAGCCCGCAAGCATCAGCCTCTGGCCTTGCGGACGTGCCGCGCGAGCCTGAGCAATCCCTGTCCCCGTCCCTTTCCTCGAATGTGGGCACCCCGGCCCCAAGGCCTCGCCAGTGGGAGGTGAACCCCGAGAACCAACAGGAAAAGTGCTTTATGAGGTGGGAGGCGACTGTCACGTAAGGCTGTGAGGACAGGGTCTCTCTGGGCGAGTGGGCGGCCTCCGCCGACCCGAGGGAGGGGGCCGGGGGCGGGCCGAGTCGGGGTGGGGGACCCAGGGGCCGGGCAGGCCGGCTCGGGGCGCCGGAGCGGCTCCGTAGAGATTGCCCAGGGCGGGCTGGGGAGACCCCGGCGTCCAGGCCCGGAGCCCTGGCCCGGGACGGATGGGGGGCGCCGGGCAGCGCCCCGAGAGGAGGTTCGGCGAGTCCGGCCCCCGATCCTCCCGCACTCACCCGCGGGCCGCGCTACGACTCCTCGGGACTCGCCTCTCGCCCGGTACCTCTCCCCGGGTCACCCAGCAACATGGCCCCTTCACTTCCGGGACACGACCTTGTGCGCTGAGCTGAGGGGTGGGACTGAGCGAGTACGGAGGCGGCCGGAGGCGGGAGGACTTCCGGTCTCCTCGCCTTTGGGGGCGGGGCCTGGAGCTGCGCGGGCCACGCCCCCTGGATCGGACCCTGCCTGCAGCCCTGAGGCCACGCCTCCTCCGTGACGTCATCTAGGGGCGGGACTGCGGGCCGCGCTCAGGCCCCGCCCCCCGGAGGGTCGCGCTGCCAGGGATGCTAAACTGGAACCGGGAGAAGGGGGCCCCCAGCCGGCTGCCAGCCAGGGGGGCAGGCCAGACCGTAGCGCCGTCTGGGCCGGGACCGTGGGGGTACCCGCGGGGATGCTAACATAATACACCCAATCATAGCTTTCAAAGCCCGTTTTCTCAGGTCGATTTCAAATCTTTTCATTCATTCGCGCTGTTCCAGCTTCCCAGGCCCCTCGGCTCCCGGCAAACTCCTACCCTTCAAGGTCCACCTCAGATGTCCCCCCCGCAAGTCTTTCCCAGCCTCTTCCTTGCCCCTCACCCAACACTCTCAGGCACCTCCTTTGGGCCCACAGCAATGTCTGCACACGGTGAGGGTTCTCAAGCTGGTCAACGACCAAACATGTTCATTGGCGCCTGCTATTTGCCAGGCGCCGCTTTTTAATGTACCCACTGGCTTCTCTGCCTCTCACCAGCTTTGAGGGCAGAAGCCTGTCTTCTGGAATCTGCAAACCCCTCCCCCAGTGCCTCCCTGGGTGCCTGGCTCCAAGTGAAGTCAAGGAACGCTGGGCTTTGGAGCCAGGCGCAGCGGCTCCCCATTCCAGCCACCATTTAAGAACAGCTGCCCTCTGGCACATTTCCTAATCTCTCCCAGCCCGGGACTGCTGTGAGGATTAAAATCCCCAGCCAGTTTGGCTCAGTGGGTAGAGCGTCGGCCCTTGCACCAAAGGGTTGTGGGTTCGATTCCCTTGAGTATCTGGGTTGCATGTTGACCCCTGGCCCCGGTCGGGGTGCGTGCGGAAGGCAGCCAATCCATCAATATTTCTCTCTCTCCCCCTCCCTCCCTTCCACTCTCTCTAAAAAAATCAATGGAAGCCGAAACCGGTTTGGCTCAGTGGATAGAGCGTCAGCCTGTGGACTGAAAGGTCCCAGGTTCAATTCCGGTCAAGGGCATGTATCTGGGTTGTGGGCACATCCCCAGTAGGAGATGTGCAGGAGGCGGCTGATCGATGTTTCTCTCTCATCGATGTTTCTAACTCTCTCTCTCCCTTCCTCTCTGTAAAAAATCAATAAAATATTTTTTTAAAAAAATCAATGGAAAACATATCCTGGGTGAGGATTAATAACAACAACAAAAAAGATATCTAGCACTTAAGGAGCAGTAGCTCCTCCATTCACTGACGCAAGAAATCATTGTTGAGGGTCTCTAATGTGCAGCCACTGTCACAGGCGTTGCAGAGAACAGAGGGATCAAGTCCTGCTCTACTGGTGGCTCAGTCTCCAAATACTTCCAGGATCTGACCACTGCCTTCACCGCGGCCACCGCCCTGGCCTGAGCCCCTATCTGATTTTATAGACGAGAAAACCAAGACCCAGCAAGGTTCGGTACTTCCTCAGGGACACCGAGCTGGGCAGCACAGAAGCTCTCAGTGGAACCCAAGTCTGTCTGACTCCGAAACGTGTTCTTTCCACTCCCCCAGGCTGCCCTACTTTGCTCTTTAAACAAATAATGTTGTGACCCAGATAAATCTAAATGGTGACATTTCCAGCTGGAAGACCAGGTGACCTTTCATATCCCTCCTGACCCTGCTGTTCTATAGAACATTATTTTTAGGAGGAAAGGAGAGCGGTCTCTTGGGGGGGGGGGGGTGCCCTTCAATCAGTTCCCCCAGACGCTCCTTGTTCTTCAGGGTTTTCTCTTTACTTCCAGACTCACAAGTCTCCTCCTGCTTCCAGTGCCTCCACGACAATGTGTGGAGGGGGAGAAGCCAGGGCAGCGAGGCGGGCGGCTGGCACCCGCGTGGATCCGTGGTGACTTTGTAGACTGGAGACCCCAGCAAGGGGCACTGACCCAGATCCCAGGGCTCTGCTGGGTTTCACATGGCAAGGGGCCTCTGGGATGTCTCTGATGATCTTGCAGTTTTGCTGTGACCCCTGGTCTCCCATCTGGATGATGACGACAGCTTCTTACGAGATCATGGCTGGACCGTGAGAGGGAAGCACTTATTCAACCAAACAGTCATTCACACAAAGTAGGCATTTAATCGTGGAATAAATTAATTAACATTTTCCAGAAAGGTAGAGGGTTTGGGAGAGATGGGCCATTTCCCCAGAGTCAGGCCGGTCAAGTCTAGTCTAATTGGAAAGGGGCTATGGAGTAGTAATGAACATGGGACACGTGACTTAAGCTGTGCTTGCCTTGGTTTCCTCACCTGGCCCGTTGGACAGAAATGGACAAAGCATTTTTGCTGAATGACCCACGAGAACCAACACTGTTGTTCCCAGTGTACTGACCAAGCAGTCACTCGTTCACCATTTCATGAGCATCCAGTGTGAGCCAGGAGCAGGAGCAGGACCAGGAGCAGGAGCAGGAACAGGAGCAGGAGCAGGATCAGGAGCAGGAGCAGGAGCAGGAGCAGGAGCAGGAGCAGGGACCAGGGAGCAGGAGCAGGAGCAGGAGGAGCAGGAGCAGGAGCAGGAGCAGGACCGGGACAGGACCAGAGCAGGAGGGACCAGGAGCAGGAGCAGGAGCAGGACCAGGAGCAGGACCAGGAGCAGGACCAGGAGCAGGACCGGGACCAGGAGCAGGAGCAGGACCAGGAGCAGGACCGGGAGCAGGAGCAGGAGTAAAGAAATAAAACACGCAGTTCCTGTCCTCGGGGAGTGCACGTGGAGGGAGGAGACAGACAAGGACACAGGTTCTAGGAGAGAAGCCTTCACGGTGGGAAGCGGAAGAGCCTGTGCCCAGAGCAGAAGCAGGGGTGGGCGCCACCTGGCTGGAGCACAGGGCAGGGAGCTGAGGCTGGCCAGGTGAGCATCCTGAGGTAGCCAGGGAGGACGCGCTGGCCTGCAGGTGTGCTTCAGGCTGTTGCACCAGCACCATAAGTCATGGTTTGAATCCCAGCTCCACCTCCTGATGGCTGGGTGACCTTCAACAAGGTTCTCAGCCTCTCTGAGCCTTGGTCCCTACATGCATAAAAGGGGATTAATACAGTACCTGGCAATCAGACCTCAGCATGCACTCCTGCTAACTAAAACCGAGGGAGAGAGAAGCAAGCCAAGGAGATGTGTGCAATGAGAATTGTAACCACGGCTGAGATTTTAGGGAGCCCGGAGGAGGGAACAGGGAGTAGTGTAGACGGAGGACGGGATCCTGGCCCATTGGAGAGCTCAGAGGACTGGAGCCCAGAGAAGGCAGGGAAAGAGTCCAAGATAAGGCTGTGAGAAAGGCAGGCCCAGCAGCCCACTGTGGGGAATTGGGCCCTGATCCAGCTGCAGTGGGAGGTCTGTGCCATGGATAGACTTGCGTCTTGGAAAGAGCAGCCTGGCTGCTTTTCGGGGGCTAGACTGGTGGGCTGAGCCCTGCAGGATGTCAGCCGCAGGCCACTGCGGTATCCCTTGTGAGAGCCACCAGTGGACAGTGTTATGCCCAGATTTCAGGATCCCCAAAAGACCACCAGGGAGCGCCGAGTTCGATGCAAAAGGAGATAGAGTCTTTATTCGAGCTAGCTCGGCTCCCTGACCACACTCGCCGACACAGCAGCAAGCGGCAGAGAGAGAGTGAGCTCTGTGGGGAGAGGGGTTTTATAGGGGGGTTGGAGTAAGGGAAGGAGAGAAGACTGTGGGCCCTGCCGATTGGCCAGGCACAAGTCGGTGTCTTGTTACACAGGATGTGGTCATATCTATGGAGCGCACTTCCCTTGATCGTCATTGGTTAGTTTAAAGAGCAGAGGCTTGGGCTTCCGGGAAGAAGCTCCTTGCCAAGCACATGGCTGATGGCTGCTGCCTAAATATGGAGGATCTGGGGTAAGATGGAGGGCGTAGCCCTCGCCCTCTCAGACAGCGAGAGTTAGTGCTTCCTGAGCTTTTCCTGTGTGCCGGCACCGGTCCGCCCCGATCCCCTAACTCATCACAGCCCCGAGGACAAGGGCTGAAGAGGAGAGGGCGAGTGGGAAGGAGACAGTCATTTTCCTGGCAAGGCAAAGGGCGAGATGAGAGGACAGGTGGCAGAGAGCCTTGTGAGAGGGACCATGATGGCACAGAGGAGACCGAGGGAGAGTGAGAGAGCAGGCCAGGGGGCCCTTTCCCTGTGGGGGAGCAGGGCAGGGCGCCCCAGGCTTCCCTCCAGAAGGCAGAGAGGGCGAGTACCCTGAGGCCTTCGTCTCACCAGTTTCATTCCCTTCACTTTGCTGAGTGAGGTCCCTTATGAGATGGAGACGCCCTGCAAATGTTTGTTGCCCTGGATGGGAGGGAAATTGCTACTGGATGACAAGACAGAAAGCTCAGTCCAGCCACCTCCATTTCCCCAGCCCTCCCAGGGGTGAACCCAGATGGAGCGAAGGCCGGAGCTGTTATTACCCGGCTGATGGAGGAGTTGGCGAGCCAAGCGGGCCAGGGACCTGGAAATCACTCCCAAAAAGCTCCGCCTCCCTCATCATGGTGTTTGCTCTAATCAGATGTCACCGATTCTGCCTTCGCCAGACTAAAACCCGATCCCCCTGGACAGGAGGGAGGTTGCAAGCAAGTGAACTCTTTGCTGCCCAGTTGTGTCGGGTGGTGCTGCAAAGGGTGGAGGAAATGTAAGCTTGTTTGCTGCATACCCTCCCTTGGCCAGGCAGCAGGAGTGGAGGGCGGGGCCTGGCAGGGGCACAGGCTCAGAGCTAGATCCCAGCACCTCCACCCCACACCCGTGCAACCTCTGTGAGTTTCCGGCCAGGAGAAAGGTGGGTGCCAGGGTCCAGCCCCAGCGGTCCAGGGGTTCCCAAAGGTGTGGACAGCATCAGTGAAGAATGAAGGACACGGAGACAGAGTTCAGTT